AAAAAAATAGGTGGTAGAAATCAAGAAAGGGATTGAACAAAGTGAAAATTTTTTAAAAAAGTGGCACAAATTAAAAGAAATTATACATATTAAAAAAGTGACAGACAATAAAAAAAGTGACACACTCAGAAAGTCATAAAATTCAAAAAAAAAGTGACAAACTCAAAGAAGTGATGGATTTTTTTTTTTTTTTTAAAGTGACACAAATTAAAAAAAAAAAAGTGACAATCTTTTGACGAAATTCACGAGTTTCCTTCTCTTGTAACAATTGGAGTCGAATTTTTCCTTGCAAGAACATTGGGCGGCTCTCAATATCCTTACCCTCTTCGATCTCCTCTTCTTCATCAATTTCATTCTCAGGAATCAATCCTTCGTCAGTCACCTGACCACCTCGAATGCTAGCACGAGTCCTCTTGAAAACTTTTAGTTTTAAGTTCGATTTCCTGTTGCAACCAATCCAAGAATCACATAATAAATAGCATCCTCCCTTCTTAAAAAAAATTTAATCATTACAAGAAATGCATAAATATATACCCTCGCCGATTTCCTGTCCAGCAGGCCCGCTGGCGGAGGGGCAACATCGTTGAACACGGTGCTTCCGAAGATAATATATGCACACAGATTCATACACACATCAATCTATACCCACAACAATCTATACATATATGCACACAGACAGAGGGGCGAGAATTTCATCAATTGATTTTGTTCTATAACATATATTGATTTCTAATGAATGAGGCAAACAATTTTCACTTAAACTATAAATTTCCAACATAGAGGAAACATAGCCCATGGATTTCATCTGAATGTCTACATGACACTACCACATTTATTCATATAGATATCGTTTTCATCGTCATAATCAGACTCTGTATGCCTTAATAGTCTAATTCTCAACTCCGCAAACTCAGAGTGACAAACTCCCAATTAATCCAAACAAAATTGGGAATTTCATTTCCTCAACGTGTTAGTATCAAAACTATAATTGGTAAAGAGATACTAGTAATACTCAAGTAAAACAAGTTTTGCAAACATCAGGGTATAAGAAATCATTCACCAAGTAATATATTGAAGTAAAATCTTCACATAACTTATTGTTTTAACTTATTATCACTTTTTATCAATGTTTAACAAAATCTTTATATAAATGTAAGCAACATGCCCTAGCATATTGAATCAAGTGTATAGAAGCATCATAAATAATGACAACAATCATCAACAACTAAATTTATTTCACTCATGCAGTGAAAAATGTTGGCTACCTTAGGTTTATAAGATGTTGATGAAACTCTATTCTTCTTCTTTGAAAATGGTTCTTCATCAATAATTATTTTCCTTTTCAACCCACTTTCTCCAACTATTATGGAAATATGAGTTTGAGTCAGGTGTCAGAATCAGTGTCGAAGTGAATAAGTCAAAATCGGACTCAAATTTCTGGATTTTGATCGGAACATGTTAGTCTTTCAGTTATTTGGGGGTTTTTTTTTTAGGGTAGATGTTTAAGATCCCCACGAAATGAAAATGAGAAGAGTAAAGATGAACGGAGACGGAGGAAGACGTCGACGAAATCAGCGGAAAATGGTCGGAAACGCAGATTTCAGGTTGAGGTTTCTCGGAGATGGAGGAAATCGATTCTGAATAGGGACCATTTCTAAGGATAAGGAATGGGGATGAGGAATGGGTTTATGTCGGGTTAATTTAGGTTGAGTGAGCTTTAGTTAATAGTTTAGGGTTAGGACGTAATTTTTACTTGATTA